CAATAATCCAGCCAAGAGATGATGAGATGATGATGTCTCACTGCAGAAAAGCAGCACACCCAACTGCCTACCAGTCATCTGTTAAGATGTCACAGAGGCACCTACAATTCAGATGTCCAAAACTAAATCACCATCTTCTCATTAAAATACACACTCATTTTGGTATTCCCAATTTTAGAAATCAATGAATCATCTACACAATCATCCAATCCAGTCAGTAACCAGGCACTATGCTTTACTTGATCCTCTTCTCTTTTTCCTAAATTCAATCACCAAGTCCTAATTATTCAGCTCCTAAATCTCCAGTCCATCTACTCACTTAAAAAAAGCATCGACATTATCTTAGTCTAGACCCTCATTTGTAATACTGCTCTCACTCTCCTTCCTTTCCAATTGGTTTTCTAGTCAGCAACTATTATCTTCCTAAAATTTTAAATCTGATCAAGTACTTCCCCTACTTAAAATACTCTAACAGATTCCCAGTGTCTAGAAAACAAAGTCCAAATTCCTCAACAAAACCTTGATCTGACTTTGCTGACCGCCTGATATTCATCCCTTGTGCTCTCAAAACTACCAATATCACCACCAGGTCCCATACTCACTAACCTAATCACACTAAAACACTTGCAGTTTTGCCTTTCTCTACCATTCATCACACCAATACCTAATTTTCTTTTAGGTCCCTAACTAGGTAACATTTCCTCATGGAAAACTTTCTCAACCATTCAAGACTCAGTTCAATACCCCTCTAAGTACTTCTGCAGCACACAGTATTTCCTCTGCCGTGGTATTTACCATGCAGTATTATTTTTGTTTGCTTAACTTTGTTTTAATTTTCGTTTTAGTAATAAACTCAGAGTCATTCTATTTTGCTTCCATATAAAAAGCATTCAATAAATACATCTTGGGGTGCCTGGATGGCCAAGTCAGTTGAGCGTCCAACTCTTGATTTTGACTCACGTCATGATCTCAGGGATGTGGGATAAAGCCCTGAGTCTGGCTCTGCCCTCAGAGCAGAGTCTGCTTATCCCTCTCCCTCTGCTCCTCCCCCTGTTCTATCTCCAAAACGAATAAATAAAACCCTTAAAAGTAAAATACTTCTTGAATAAATAAATGAATAAAGGACTTCATTTTAATGCTGCACAGCAGACTAGATATCCTGGACAAAATCTTTTCAAGCACATTGCTAAGCTCACAAAAAATGATGCAAAGAGGGCAAAAACAAAAGGAAAGCTGAACCTCTACAGACTAAGTGAGAACACCAAAGCCAACCAACATTTCCCCTGAGATTTCTGTTGAGGTGGGTATTTTTTTTAAGATTTTTTTTTTTTTTAAATTGACAGAGAGACAGAGACAGTGAGAGAGGGAACACAAGCGGAGGTGGTGGGGAGTGGGAGAGGGAGAAGCAGGCTTCCCACTGAGCAGGGAATCCAATGTGGGACTCAATCCCAGGACCCTGGAATCATGATCTGAGCCGAAGGCAGAGCTTAACAACTGAGCCACCCAGGTGTCCCTCTGTTGAGGTTTATAGTCTTCGAGCTTCTACTTCCATTGCTGCTAGGGGCATGAGAGACAGGAGAAGACAACTACATTCTATTCCAGATGGAATATCTAACAGGAGACACCCAGAAAAAAAGCTAGACAGACAGTATAACTGTGAACTAAAAAAAAAAAAAAAATAAAAAATAAAACACACACACACACACACACACACACACACACAGAAGGGAACAGCAAGAAAGCATGCCAACCTCTCCTTTGGTGTTAAATAGTGGGGATGAAAAACATAAGGCTAAGTCAGCCCTCACACAAGTCTGAAGTCTGAATTCATGCTACCAAAGTGGTCTAAAAAGTCTAGAGCAAAGAATTTAAGTTAATTTGGTCCCAAGCTATATTCCTAGCAGCTAAGTGTGGCACAAGCAAACTATGCAGAAATGCATCTTCAATCCAGAGAGACTTCGAATAGTTCCAAAATACTAAACTCCATGGAAAGTGAATAATTCTCAATTAAAAAACAAAGATATGGCATCATGAATGAGTGCACAAAGTAAAAAGATAATACAGTAAGAACGAAAAAATTTCAGATACAATTTTCATTTATAGAATATAAAATAGACACATTTAATATGGTAAGTAATAAAACAGGAGTTTGAAAACTTAAGGAACAAGAGAATAAATAAGCAAGGTGAAAAATAAACAGTTTCTAGAAATGAAAAATATAATCATTGAAATTAACAACCCAACATACAGGGTGCCAGGGTGGCTCAGTCAGTTAAGTGTCTGCCTTTGGCTCAGGCTGAGGCCTGCCTCAGGCTCCCTGCTCAGCGGGAAGCCTGCTTTTCCCTCCCCTACTCCCACTGCTTGTGTTCTCTCTCTCTCGCTGTGTCTCTCTCTGTCAAATAAATAAAACCTTAAAAAAAAAAACCCACAAAAACCCAACATACATATCAACCAGTAGACCAGAGGCTAACTAACAAGGGAATTGGCAAACTAGGCAGATCTAAGAAAATAATCCAGAATTCAGGCCAGAAAGATAAAGAAATACAAAATACGACAGAGAGATTCAGAGACATGGAAAATAAAGCAAAAAGATCTAACATTTTTAGAGTTCCAAAAAGAGATAAAAGATAACTGAAAACTGACTCAGTCAGTGAAACATATGACTCTTGATCTCAGGGTTTAGAGTTCAAGCCCCATGTTGGGTGTATAGATTACTTAAAAATCTTAAAAATAAATGAGCAAAGGGGCATCTGGGTAGCGAAGTCGGTTAAGTGTGAGTGAGACTCCTGGTTTCGGCTCAGGTTGTGATCTCAGGGTGATGAAATCAACCCGCACACCAGACTCCTCATCTACTTAGGTTCTCTCTCCATCTCCCTCTGACTCTCCCCAAGAGCTTGCTCAGTCTCTCTCTCAAATAAATAAATCTTTAAATAAATAATACATTTTTTAAAAAGAGAGAGAACTAAGAAAAGGTAATAGAGAGTGACAGAGAATTACAGAGTAATACTAATCCTCAGTTCCTGGAAGCCCAACAAATCTCAAGCAGGATAAATACATAGAAATACATACCTAGTATGCAGAAATACATACATAGCAGTTTACACCAAAGAAAAAGACTTTCAAAATAAAGTTAATCAAATTTAAAAAGCAATAAAATAGAAAAAACATGAAAACAAAAGGATGATATGTGACTTATCAACAGCAACAGAACCCAAAAGACACTGGAATAACATCTTAAATTGCCTTTACCATAAAAAGATCCTCGCCTAAAGGAACTTGTATAAGATGTACTACATCAGACAGAAAGACTAGAGAAATAATTAAAGTTGGTTAACAGGGATTTTAGAGAAATTTGAACAAATAATGATGTATATTGTACAGAAGGGATAGATCAGAACAGACACAAAATATTAGCCAATAAATAGCTTGTGAGTTGGGAGAAAGTGACCAGAATTAAAGGATTCTAAGTTCTTTATATTTTTCAGAAAAAAATGTTAAGCTTTTAAATTACCTTTAAACTCTGAAGTACATAGAGTATTTAACTCCCAAGCTAGTGCATGTATGTGTGTGCACATGGGGGAGAAAGGATAATGCAGTGAGAAAAAAGAAAGAAAAAAGGCAAAAAAGAAATTTAAAAAAAAACAAAAACAAAAACCCAGGGACACCTGGGTGGCTCAGTCAGTTAAACATCTGCCTCGGCTCAGGTCACGATCCCAGGGTCCTGGCATCAAGTCCCACATCAGGCTCCCTGCTCAGCTGGAAGCCTGCTTCTTCCTTTACTTCTGCCTGCCTGTGTGCTCTCTCTCTCTCTCACTCTCTCTCTCTCTGACAAATAAATAAATAAAATCTTTAAAAAATAAAATAAAATTTAAAAAAATTTTTAAAAACCCACAAGGAAGCTCATGAGACAATGGCAGAAATATGCTTAAATATATCAGTGATAACAGTAAATATAAACAGACTAAATTTCTAATTATAAGACAAAAATTATCAAATCAGGACAAAAAGAGGTTAAAATTAAAGGATGGGAAAACAGGCAAATACTAATAACACCTGGTAGAGACACTAAAAAAAAAAGAGTTGTTACATAAAAAGAAAGGGTGTAATGCATCAGTGTTATGTAATGACTCTAAATGTTTATGTATCCAATAACATAGCTACAAAATGTATAAAGTGAAATTTTAGGGACAATTGTTGAAGGAAAGACTGTCAAATCTACCAGAGCTATCATGGCTTAAACACCTACTTTAGAAGAAAAGGAAGGTACAGAATTAACGAACAATACAGCTATCTTATCATTAAAAAATGAATGACAGAATAAGCACAAAGAAAACAGGAGGATATAATTAAGGTAAGAATAAAAATTAACCAAACAGGAAACAAACATACAATATAAATATTCAAAGTAAAAAGATACTACTTGGAAAAATAAGAAAATGGACAGAGTTCTGGCAAGATTAATCAAGAAAATGACAAACACCATTAAGAATGAAAAAACAAAAAGGGCTGCCTGGGTGGCTCAGTGGGTTAAGCCTCTGCCTTCAGCTCAGGTCATGATCTCAGAGTCCTGGGATCGAGTCCCACATCGGGCTCTCTGCTAGGCAGTGAGCCTGCTTCCTCTTCTCTCTCTCTCTCTCTCTCTACTTGTGATCTCTCTCTGTCAAATAAATAAAATCTTTAAAAAAAAAAGAATGAAAAAAAAAGATATAACTATAAATGCTGCTAAGAGTATACAGAGACTATTAAGAACTTGATGCTAGTAAATTAAAAATTTAGTTTAAGTGGACAAACTCCCAGAAAAAAATAGAACTTACCAAAACTGAGTCAAAAGCAGAAAAATTAAAAGAAAGTAAATTAGCAGTTTAATAGCTTTCCACAAAGTAAACATTAACCCAGATAGTTTCGTACATAAGTTCCATCAAACATTCAAGGGACAAATAATCTTACACAAGCTATTTCAGTATATAGAAAAAAAATGATTTTAAAAGATTTATACACACCTGTTTCATCAAATGATGGCACTTTTTCCACTCTGAGAGTCTGTGATCCCTGTCCTTCCTTCTGAACATTTGTGGAGTATGACTTCACTTGACTCAGTGTACAAATAAATGGGTGACCATAGCGAACCATGTATGAAAAGCTTCCCAATGTCACTACATTCTGCCATCCTACCAAAAAAAAAAAAAAAAAAAATTAATTTAATGTCCAACAAACTCACAACAAAGATTTTATACCCAATAAAACATACCTACTATGTTAGAAAGAAAATAATTTTACAGAGTAACAATAAAACTTTCATTCTGCTAAATACCCAAAAGCACATGCCAACCCACCCTCTCTGTAGAGGTGTTTCATTGACCCCTAGGTGTATGGAGACTACGCTTTGTAAAGAAAAAATAATAATATTCCTATTCTCTAATTTGTAAATTTATTTATATAGGAAATTTTATTTTTAAAAGTCTTTTTAAAAAGATTTTATTCATTTATTTATTTGAGAGAGCATGCACGATCAAGAGCAAAGGGAGAGGCAGAGGGACAAGCAGATTCCTCATGCAACCTTACACAGGGCTCGATCCCACGACCCTGAGACAATGACTTAAGCCAAAGTCAGATGTTTAACCCACTGAGCCCACGCAGGTGCCCCTGGAAACTTAAAATATGGAAAATCAGATAAGACATTCTCATTATTCACCTCTTCTGAAACATCTCTGACATATGATACTTTTTATTTTGTATATGCTGGTTACATGTTAAAAAAATGTTGGCATAATGTACTTTTCAGAGTAGAGAACTCTGAGAGGGAGGAGGTAAGGAGGGCTTCCTACTCAAAATTACCTTGTGTCCTTCTGCTAGCTAGAGATTTATTCCTCTTTCATTTCACAATCAATAAGTGAATTATATTAATCAGTCATTCATACTGTTACTGATTTTTTTTTAATCAGATAATTAGATCAACATTTGGTGAGATTCCTCAGTACACAGGAATTCTAATTGAGGGAAGAATAGAAGACTAATTACAAAGCACTTCAGCTGCTGCATCTGGTTGACTGTGGGCTTTGGAGGGCTGAAATACTGAAAAAAAATATATTCCACACTTGCACTGAAGTGGCAGAAAACTAAATCCGTCTTTACTTTCATATGACCCTCTTTCTTTCTTTTTTTTTAAATTATGAGTACTAGACCTTGAACATCTTGTGAATAATTTACATATTTTTTAAAGTGTTAGCTGAAATAATGAAGGTATATCATTAGAGACAGTCAAATTTTTCTGAGTGGAGGGTTAAGCATTTAAGGGCTGAAACTTTTCTTTCTTTCCTTTTTTTTCCCCCCTAAGTAATCTCTACACCCAACTTGGGGATTGAACTCCACCTTGAGATTGAGGGCCACATGCTTTACCTACTGAGCCAGCCTCGCACCCTGAGGGTGAAACTTTTCTAACTGCTTAATAATGATCTTCCAGGGGCACCTGGGTGGCTCAGTGGGTTAAAGCCTCTGCCTTCAGCTCAGGTCACGATCCCAGGTCAAGTTCCCAGGGTCCTGAGATTGAGGCCCGCAACAGGCTCTCTACTCAGCCGGGAGCCTGCTTCCTCCTTTCTCTCTCTCTCTCTCTCTCTCTCTCTCTGCCTGCCTCTCGGCCTACTTGGGATCTCTGTCATCTTACTCTTTCCCTTATTTGGCAAATAATTGTTGAAGGCCCAGTATGTTTTTGGGCATTTGCCTCTATTTTTTAAAGGCTTACTCTTACACTAAAGTAAAGCAAATATAACAATGCACCTCCTTGCACATTAAAATCTGTAGCCTAGGGGTGACTTGGTGGCTCAGTTGTTAAGCAGCTGCCTTTGGCTCAAGTCATGATCCCAGGGTCCTGGGATCGAGTCCTACATTGGGATCCCCACTCAGCGGGGAGCCTGGTTCTCCCTACTGTTCCCCCTACTTGTGTTCACTCTCTCTTTCTCTGGCAAATAAATAAATAAATATAAAAAAATAATAAAGAAAAATCTGTAGCCTATTAGCCAAATCAGTGAAGCAAGGAGTAAAGCAAATTTTCCTAAGAAACGCACCCTCCAGAAAAGCATCCTGTTTAACGGTAAACAGTGGCCACTGGTGTTGTCAGTCCTATCCAAGGTATCTTTTGTGATTATTACCTAACAAAACCAATATGCCACCAATGCTTTTTTTCCACCCACTGATCCAATGCTTTTATAAGCTGTGCTAAAGTGTTTAAAGAGAGACTATTCCAGTCTTTTTTTTTTTAGATATTATTTATTTGTCAGAGAGAGAGAGTGTGAGTGCGTGCAAGTGCACAAGCAGGGGGAACATGAGGGAGAGGGATGAGCAGGCTTCCCTCTGAGCAAAGATCCTGATGCAGGACTCAATACCAGGACCCCAGGATCACAACCTGAGCCAAAGGCAGATGCTTAACCTACTGTGCCATGCAGCTGTCCCTACTCCACAGTTGAAAAAATCCTCTCTCAGAATATAAGTATTTCCATGATTTGATTCTAGATTTTTTTCAAGGTTTTCCTTAGTTCTTCAAACATTACAGAAAATTTCAAACATATGCAGAGATAGGAAAAAACAGTACAATAAATGGCCAGGTACTCATTGCCCACCTTCAGCCATTATCAACTCATGGTGAACCTAGTCTCCTATCTACCTGCACCAATACTTCCTCACCTCCATGCTAATTTGATGCAAATCTCAGACATAAAATTATTTATATGTTTATTTATAAAGATTTTATTTGAGGTAGAGAGCACAAGCTGCGGGGAGAGGCAGAGGCAAAGGAGGATGAGAACTCCCACTGATCAGGGAGCCCAATGTGAGGCTTAATCCCAGAACCCTGGGATCATGACCTGAGCCAAAGGCAGACACTTAACTAACTTAGAGCCACCCAGGCGCCCCTCAGACATAAAATAATTTAATTCACAAAATTTTCCATACGTATTCTAAAAGACAAGAACTAAAAAACACAGCCAAACCATCATGAAAAAAAAATAAGCAATGCCTTATACCATCAAATATCATCAATTTCCAACTGTTACAAGTGTTATAATTTTTTGTGTGTAGAAAGATCCTAATAAGATCCATTTGCTATTGTTGATTGAGGTGTCTTTTGAGTCTCCTGAAATCCACAGGATGTATTTCTTGGCAGCACAGGGCCTGAACCCATAACCCCGAGATCAAGACCTGAGCTAAGATCAAGAGTCATTCAATCACCGACTGAACCACCCAGGTGCCCCCAGGATTTTTTTTTTTTTTTTAAGAGCCATTTTTTAATCGAAGAAATCAAGTTATTTGCCCCAAATTTTTGTCCTGCTAGTTTTCCAGTCTGAATTTTGCTGGCTTAATTCCCATGGTGCTGTTTAACCTGTTCTTCTGTATGTTCTATAAATCGATGGATGTGAAGGTTTTATCTAAATTCTGATTCTTTTTATTAGAACAAACACTACTTATTAAGCAGTGATGAGTTCTGGGACGCCTGGCTGGCTGGCTCAGCTGGTATAGCTAGCAGCTCCTGATCTCACGGTCTTGAGTTTGAGCCCCATGTTGGGCCTAGGGCCTACTTTAAAAAAAAAAAAAAAAAAAGGCAGTGGTAAGTGTTTTTATCAAGTACCACATAATATTTGGTTGTCTCTTTATTTGTGTAGTGTCTGCTATTGTTCAGTGCCCAGAACCATTTAGCCATTAGGTGGGTATAAAATGGTGATATTCAAATTTTACTACTTCTTCATTTGTCAGAATACTTCAAAAAGAAAATCCCCCACATATACTTGGTTACTCAGCAGTACAGTTTACAAGAAAATTAGACTAAATTTTCTCCTTACTTACCAGTTCTCAAAATAATGAGTTCACTACATACTATCCTGAAGTAGTGACACAGTAATTTGTGCATGTATCATTATTTCATAGATTTAAACATTATTTGATCTATTTCAATCCATTTTAGTTGCTCTGATTAATGGTCAAATGGTCCCATTTTTGGCCAAAAGGGTCTCCTCAAATTGACTTCTGCATTCTTTAGACACTAACCTAGAAAATAATCTTTGATAGCTTCCTTGCTAGCTGTTCCAAAAAGTCCTTAATTTTTAACTTCAGTAGAATTTCAGGTATCAGCAACTTTAAAAGTACGTATCAGGCATTAATGCAAGATCAAAAACTGCACAAAACTTGAAGAATACATTACCATCTTTAACATTTTATACTCTAAAAAATATATAGGACCACATTTGATTCAATAAACCAAATATAATATCTAAAACACAACTGAAACACAACCATTTAAAAAAAAAAGGAAACGCACAGGTGACCTAGTCAGTTAAGCGTCTGCCTTTGGCTCAGGTCATGAAGGGCTCCCTGCTCAGCAGGGACTCTACTTCTCCCTCTCCCTCTGCTTGTGCTTGCTCTCTCTCTCTCTAATAAATAAAATCTTCAAAAAAAAAAAAAAAAAGAACCATTTTTAAATCAATTACTGAATTCATTAGTTAATACTAGGATGCAGAAAAATAGTTAAAAAAAAATAGTACCCACCACTAATATATCCTTTCTTCAAGGTGACATCTAAAATAAACTACATACAGAAGATTAACCTTTTTGAAAGTTTGGTGCTCACAGCTCTATGGGCTTGGACGAGGACTTCTCATCGCTGTATATATAAGAGCTATTTCTTCATCAAGACTGCGGAGAGACTCTTGTTTTGTCAGTCTAGTTAAAACAATCACTCCTCTCTGCTTTTTTTTACTTTTATTGCCTCTGTAGCTCCTAACAATCACTGCTGATAAGCACTTGTCCTCTCTCTCCAATCTGGTTTGTCACCTACCATTTCCTCTGGCTTTAAGAGGAAATTTGGCCCTCTTTTTCACAGTACAACAAACAACAAAAGAAACTCTGTTTGTCTCATGCAAACCGACAATTCTGTCTTCTGGATATGTTGCTCCTGCAATAACCATAACTATAAACAAAAGATTTCTTGCAGTTTGTACTGTTTTCTTACTGGCTCATTTAAGGGCTAGAGAATCAAACTTGTAGCCTACACCTTCTAAAGATCAATCTCTTTACTTAAGAGACTATTTCAGTAGTTTTGCCCCCAAATTCCTAAAGCACTGACATTGATGTTATACTTAATTTTATAAGAGGTTAGTGTGAACTTAAAATACACAATAATAAG